GAACGGTTGATTGAAATCCGGATAATCCAATGTTGGGGCGGTAGCCAACAGATTACGCAGACTCTGAAAGGCCGCCTCTTCCGGCGGTCCCCACGCAAACTTACGTCCCTTACCCGTAAGGAGGTGCAAGGGCCTCGCGATGGTCGCAAAATTCGGTACAAATCTTCGATAATACGAGGCAAATCCCAGAAAGCGACGTACATCCCCCACGGTGACCGGAGTCGGCCAATCTCGGACGCACGCCGTTTTTTCCGGGTCCGTAGACACCCCCTCAGCACTCACGATGTGCCCCAAATAACGGACGGACCGTTGCAGTAGGTGACATTTCTTTGGTTTAAATTTCAAGTTCGCGGAGCGCATCCTCGCGAACACCGTCTCCAGCCGCCTTAAATGTTCATCAAATGTGCGGCTGAAGACGATGATATCGTCCAAATATATGAGACATGTCTCCCACTGCAACCCCGTCAAAACGAGTTCCATGAGCCTTTGAAATGTGGCAGGGGCCGCATTCAGCCCCATCGGAAGGCAGTTAAATTGAAACAACCCCTGCGGCGTACGGAATGCGGTCTTCTCCCGTGAGGGCTCGTCAAGGGGAAGCTGCCAAAATCCCGAAGAGAGGTCCAGTGTAGAGAAATACTTAGCCCCCGACAATGCGTCGAGGGAGTCGTCCATACGCGGCAGGGGATACGCATCTGCCACCGATATCTTATTCAATTTTCGAAAGTCAACACAGAATCGCAATTTGCCATCCTTTTTCTTAACCAAAACCACAGGCGCGCCCCATGGGCTGTTCGACGGCGATATAATATCCGCAGCCAACATATCCTCCACTGCCCCCCGAACGTGTTCTCGCTCGGCCGGACTCATTCGGTGCGAATTCAACCGAATAGGGGCAGCGTCGCCTGTAGCAATGTGATGGTGAAGCAATGAGGTGCGTCCCAAATCCAAATCATTGGAGCTAAACACATCGGAATACGTCAATAACAATTTATGAAGCGCACCCCGTTGATCCACAGACAGGGAAGAATTTCCGTCACATAAGCTAGCAATCCAGCGGTCATCCGAAGCCACAGGCTCGGAAACACCAGCAACCACTCCCTGGCTATGCGAACAATCGTGAGCCGTAAATGCCGTGGTGGCATGTGCCACAACCGTGCCGGCTGGGACACAGACATTTTCCGTACCCGCATTGAGCACCTGCAAAAACGGTAATTGATCTGGCCGGACGATGGTCTGCGCTCCGACCAGCGCCGATCCGGCCGTTATCGAGGCTGAAGGTGACAACAAGATCCCAACCGCTCCCAGCCGACCAGGCAGGGGCTTCCGATACCGCAGGGGAATAAGCATCTGTGAACCAGGTGGAATATCAACAGATGCCACGGATAGCGCCTGCACTTGTACGGCCGAAGCAGGTCGCCCCCAGGGCGACGGCAGAAACGAAATTTGACGGCCACCCGGCAGTTCAATACAATTCTCATTAATTTTGATCAAAATAGGCATCTTAGCCAGAAAATCAGTGCCCAATAAACAGGGAACTGCCAAGGATCTTGAAATCAACACAACGCCCGAGGCCGACACATCCCCAATAGATATTTTAGCGTCCACCTGGCCCACGATGCCCATACTACCCCCGTTCGCAGCGACGCACGACCCGTAAACAGGACGCACGGCCCCGGGTGGGATGCCTAACAGATGAAAAATGACATCCGAAATAATAGTCGCGGACGCCCCGGAATCGACCAAAATGCGCACGTCCACCCCTTGTATAGACCCCGGCACGGTGGACGAACCCGTAGCGGCCGCAACAACCCTCCGTGCCAATTTGCGCCACTGCGTCACAGAGCGACAAGGCCCCGTCGAAGGTCCCTCTTTAACAACAACACTATGACCGCACAACGAAGGTGATGGGTGAGGTGTAAAGCCTTGCCGGGTGTCTGGTGCGTGCCGACTTGCCTGTTTCGGTGGATCCTTGGGCGGCTTGGCCGGTAATGAGGCCTCCTGTTGTGGCGGACCCGGGATGCGGGCCCAGCAGTCCTTCGCGTAGTGGCCCTTCCGTCCGCAGCGGAAGCAATCGGCGTCGTTGCGCCGAAGCGCAGGCCTTGCATCGCGCCGCCCGCGTATCGGCGGTGCAGCACGAGAGGCCGGTCCACCGCGGCCTGACCATGGCACCGAGGCGGCCGTCAGCTCCTGAGGGCCCCGCTCATCCGGCACGTATACCGACTTCGTAGGGTCCCAACCCAGAGCGCCACCCTCCGCGACGGGCCCCCCTGTCCACGCCGTGACCTGTTTCCATCGTCGTAGGTTGAATTGTGCATCCAGACATTTCGCCGCCGCCCGGGAGGTGAGCTTCTCATGCCCGCACACCGGCATGGGAATCCCAAGATCCCGCGACAGCTCGAGCATCTTGCCCAAGATGAGAGGCTCGAGCAGGTCAGGCGTTGTATCTGGATACGCGGCCATAGCCAAATCAAGCACTGCACCCCTGTACGCCACAGGCGACTCCTCGGGCGCTCGTTGTCGTTGAGCGAATCGCCGATGCGCGTCGTCAGGTGGCTCGTAGGCGTCGGCCATTTCTTGAAAAACTCCATATAATGTCCTCTTCTTCTCGGCCTTAATGGAGCGAAAAAAACGAACAGATTCGTCGTCCAGAAGAGTCGGCAACACTTCCAAGGCCTCAGCATCGGTCCATCTCGCAGAACGGACCGCCGCTAAAAATCTGCAGGCGAAAGCGCTCCAGTCGCCCCCAATGGCGAATTCCTTGACCGTGGTGAGATGGCGACTCCGACTTCGCTTCACTCCGCCCTCCGCCGATGGTTCCTCCGGAGGCAAATTCAAAATGGCGTCGAATCGCGGCGTGGTCAAGATGGCGGATTCCCGCCGCGGCACGCGCAAGATGGCGGCCTCCTGCCGCGTGGCCCATGGCGCCGGGAGTGAAGAACCCGTGGCGGCCTGTGGAGCACTCTCCGCTCTCTCCGTCGCCGTGCTTGGGGTGACGAGATGACACAATTGGCCCAGGGCGTCCTTGAGAGTCTCCAGTTGCTCAGCCACCTGCAGCCATCGCCGATCAGCGTCTGATGGTGTCGGCGGCCCTGACACTGTGGCTACATCTTCCACTCCCGTCCCCGCACTCGTTTCAGCAGGGCTCTCCTCCACCACCCTGGCAGGATCCATGTTTGGAGGGAAGTCTTCGTCTTCGGACGAAGAAGCCGATGCCGGCGCTGGAACATTTTTCTTTCTCACTTGTTTCGACATGCCGTTGCACTTCCGACACCAATGTAATAAAGGACTCGACCACGATGTCTGGCTTGGTGTCCTTTATTCGGTTCTTCTCTCTTAACCCGCACGGCTGTCCTTCTATAAGACTCTATACTGACACTGATACTGCTCTCCTGCAGTTTCTCCCCTCGTCGTTCTCTCAGCCTCTCTCTCCTCTCGTCGCTCTCGTAGCCTCTCCCTCACACACAGCCTCGCCGGCTGTGTTCCCCGCAGCTCCTCGTCCGCCTTCTCTCCAGCCGCCCCACCGCTGTCTTCTCTCGCAGCTCCGCTGGCTGCTCCCTTAGCTGGCCACCGCTGGCCGCCGCTGCCACCCCTTGGCTTTGCCCACGTGGCCTTACTCTGGTCCAGTCCCACTCGTTCTGCCTTCCTCTTCCGGTCTCCTCCCTTAAGAACCTTAACCTTTCCTCCCACGTCACCTAACTCCACCTCTCCGTGACGTCACATCCGGGAGGTCGCCCGCGCCCGCATTACACAAGTACCAGTAATGTATTGTCTGTAATGGATATATTTTACTAATATTCTTTTTTATCTTGTTATATTTTTAATTGGCTTCACAATAATAATAACAGAATAAACATGTGTACCACGCACAGTTTTTGTTCACTCTCGGAAAGAGAGAGAGACCGATGCAGAGGCACAGGAAACCACATACAGTACTATATCAGTGGGTAGCCCAGGGGTCGGCAACCTACGGCTCCGGAGCCGCATGCGGCTCTTTACGGGCTGCTTCTTGATGATATGTACAGTATGTACAGTATGTACTCAGATGCATTGCGGCTCTTGAAATACTGAATTTTGTACCGAATTGGAAAGAAATGGCTCTTCTTGTTATTTTGGTTGCCGACCCCTGGGGTAGGCAAACAAAACTGGTGCCAACAATTGCCTACGCTCTGCTGTCCTATATTGCGATGGGATGTTGGCTATCAACAACAAGGCAACTCCTATGACTAATTGGGAATGGGACGCAAGCGTAGGATTGATCACCCTGTCGCTGGCCGCCTTTGGGGAGGGTGTATAGTATGAAAGGCCGAAACACCCTAGGACCCAAAGGTTCACTACTGACGATGCGCTCCCCAAATTTCACCAGGCTCACTGTTCATGAACTCTTGGAAGTGCTTGCACAAAGGATAGTAACATCTCATCCTGTGTTCTTTGGAATCCGATGTTTGGACAACAATGTAAAATTGAGTGTTTGTACATGAAATCGGCGTGTGTTATGCGCCGGTCTATTCTCAATCGCAAAACAAGTTTTCAGGTTGTTGGTAGCGTCACGATGTGAGTCCGGTGACCAGTGGCGAGTGACATGTGAACCAGTCCTGAGCACATCTTTCGCCAACCCACATTAACCATCATGGTGAAGTATGGTCAAACAAGCACAGAATGGAAACGCGTGATAATGCTTTCGTCCACAATTGGATTGATAAGTTGGCTGTGTGTTGTTATATATGAACTGTATCACCAAAAAAATAAAAAAAATACATCGTCTTGGGGATTTGTGAGCAACTTGTGTTTGTTATATTCTCATATTTGTAGTCACGCCACTACAACTCTGTGCATGGTAGTGTTATTACGATGAAACGTTTAGTCCTAAGATGCTTCACGAGTTTAGGCTGCAGTGCACATAGGCGGTTACGTCAAGGCACACGTATGCGTGCAATGCACATACAAGAATGCGGTCAGGTCGGGTAAATCCCACCCCGGACAAAACCTGTTCGTGAGCCAACGCAGTGAACGTCGTCACTTCACGAGGCTACAAGGAAGTAATTTTTTTTCTCCTGCTTTTTATATATATTTAGGACGGAGTAATAATAAACATAGAGTACAAGAAACGGACCGGAGCAGACCTCACTTCGAAAGCTTTTGGAGTGGCACATAACTGGGGAAAGGAATGGCAGGCGTGCTTTTGGCAGTGGCTTTGACAATCGCAGGTACGTGAAATAAATAGCGAAATAAGAGCTGCGATACTTTTAGAAGTTGCCCACACGTTAAAAGGTATTTGTTATTAATTTGAAGCTTTCGTGACTGCAGGAAACCATACTCTTTGGTTCTTTCGGTCAAGTTACGTAGGTATTAAACAAAATAGAATAGATCACGACGTGCTTTCCCACCTGATGACGGACGCTTGTGTTGTGCCCAAAAAGTCGTGATCTATTTGATGTTTTATACCTACGTGACTTTCCTGAAAGAACCAAAGAGTATGTATCCCATTATGGTAAACGATCTACATTTGCAATGATGGCTTATTAGTCATAACCCGAATTGAAGTGAGAATCGCATAAAGTAGGGCGTTTGATATTTGCTCAACACAATTGTAAACATAACTTTGAATAGTAATTTGCATTGAAGTCATTACCAATGTATTAATTTTATTTAAAATTGCGAGTCAGAGGCAGTTTAAAAGATTATAAAATATATAATCACTGACAAAATGTTTCGTTGATTATTCAAAAAAAAGATGATACGTTACATACTGTAGTCTTAAACATTCTGTGTAAACTAATAGACTAATACAAAATAAATATATTTGATAGAGGAATTCCAAGCAGGAATATAATATAACAAATAACAGGATGCAACTCGTTCATATAGGGGTTTATCATCATCACCATGAGCCATAATCTATCTACTGCTGAATGAAAGCCTTCCAAAGCCATTGCTTCGTCGCATGGTCTCGCGAAGCAACAATCAACTGAACTCCCAATGACTTTACTTGTTTTCCCCTTTGGCTGCCACTCCATTATTGTTCTTGACCACTGCTTATAATCTCTTCTAGTGGCATGTCAAGGCCAAGCCCACTCACTCTTTATACCGCTCAGTATAATATCTCTAACTTGTGCGTGTGCGTGTGTGTTTTGCAATCCATCTATTGCTCTTTCTGTCACTCAGAGTAATTCCAAGCACACGTCTGTCCAAGATTATTTGGGCACTATACAGCTTTTGTTATGTTTCCCTTCGTCGACGTCTGTGTTTCTCATCCATAAGTTAAAGAAAAGAACAAACAGAATAGCAGCCGTGTTCGCTCAAGTTTTACTGAAAAAGAAGCACCTCATTCACAAGGCTCATGTATTAATCTTCTGTTCAGGTGATAACAATGTCTTGAAGAAATACACACCCATCAGCCTTGTATCGCACGTATATATACATATAAACTGTTCACAAATGATAAATGGGGAGAAAATAACGGAGAATTAAAAGCCCAACCAACCACACGAGAAAAACTGGTTCGGGAAATGTACATTTGAAATTACTCTTTGCCTAGATCAGGGGTGGGGAACCTTTTTCTGTCAAGGGCCATTTGGATATTTATAACATAATTCGCGGGCCATACAAAATTATTAACGTAAAAATTAGCCTGTTATATTTGTTCAAACATTTAATTAACTCGCCCCTAATTTGATGGCTGGAACTGCTTCTCTTTGGTGAGGCGTGTGATGTTAGCTGGTATTGATGTTGCTACTCGCAACTGCTTTTCCACTCATGTATAGTAGTAGCCACAAACTCTACACTACCTCTCAGACCCATTTGGATATTTACAACATCATTCGCGTGCCATACAAAACGATCGACCAAAAAATTAGCCCGTTATATTTGGTCCAACATTTAATTAACTCACACCCCTAATGTGATGGCTGGAACTGCTTCTCTTTGGTGAGGCGTGTGATGTTAGCTGGTGTTGATGATGTTGCTACTCGCAACTGCTTTTCCAGGTTTGCTCCTAGATTGATTGAATTTCGAGTCCCGCCTGCGATTGCCTTGGCAGGGCCAGACCAAATGATTTCGCGGGCCCTTATACGGCCCACGGGTCAAACGTTCTCCACCCCTGGCCTAGATGGACGCGTTTTGACTGATATGCGCATCAGCGTGAAATACTGTTTCAACACATAAGCATTATAAATACGGATTGTATTACTGCATAGGTTTTGGCCTTTGAGCTGTGTTACTTCGTGTCCGATGTACGGCGAAACGTTGGGCATCATGCGCGAACTGCGCGCGTTCAAAATAATTTCGAAATGTACAAAGAGCTTTCCGCCAGCACATAGCGAGAAGCTAACAACTCCCTTATTATTCCATTCAGCAATGCGTAAACTAACGTCAGCCGAGACGCATACACCTGCTGACGAGCGCGTATTTTTTTTTATTTTTTACTCCATGACAGTTCTTGTAGGTTGTGCAGATGGCCATGCTCACGCGAGGCACACACGGAGCTTGATAAACTTGGCGGAGCTCATCAAGTGTGTCACTGGGAAACACGCGTGCGACTACAATGCTTATGGAAACTGGTGTGGCATAGGAGGGAGCGGAACTCCGGTGGACGAAATTGACGGGTGAGAAAGGCAACGTACGGAACATGTATGTTGCACACATGACGCACTTATTTATGGCCCACTCTAAACTATTTCTTTTATTTTACCAGGTAAGGCCCACTGAGCTATATAGTTACATTTCAAAGCGACATTGCTCAACGAATGACAGCTCAACGAAGTGGCTTGTTTTAAAAGATGGACCCAATTTCAAAGCAGTATATTTCACGATGGCAACATGTTACAATTACACAAAAAGTTACAAACGGTTTAATGAGTTATCAAGTTTTACTATCCATTTTATAAATGCTCTATGTGCCCTCCACCTGCTGTATGGACAACATCGAGACGATAGTTGAATTCGTCCCAAACGCCTCTCAAAGTGTCTTCTTCCACTGCAGTCACCACTGCCGTGATTCTGTCACTAATGGTGGCACAAAAACACGGTCTATTACGTTTCCCCACAAGAAAAAGTCGCAGGGTGTGATGATGTCTGGGGATCTTGGGGGCCAAGAGTGTAGCGCCAAGTCTTGGGGTCCCGTGCGACCTATCCAACGTTGAGGCATTCTGGCTTGCGAATGACTGAGGCTAGGGGCTGTTTGTGCGCTGGGAGAGGCATCTAGCAGTAATCATTTGAAACTCTATGCCCCGCCCTTTCAAGTGGAAAGAGTTTCATTCATGGGCGGTTCGTGGTTGCAGAGATATAGCGATTTAAAATCATGTCCATCTTTTTCAAACCCCCAGTATATTAGCCACATGCTATAAACGCATATTTCTAATGTAGAGGGGAAAAAACCGGGGGACACGACCACGGGGAGACCATCCAAACAGCAAATATACAGCAGCAGGCGTGAGGATCGGGATCGAACCCACGACCTCATGTATACCAGGCGTGGTAGTTAACATCTCCTAGCCACCGTGGCACCCACTCTTCCATGCAGGCCGGACGCCATGGAAGAGGTGGCTGTACCCACACCGTATCGCCATTGTCAATGTCTTGCAATGTTACAGGCGATAAAGAAATTGTCGTAACCGTCACCATTACCGCACCCCACGCGGCCTGATGATCAACTGGGCGTGTTGCCCCAATTAATACTGCAAGGGTGGGTGGACAGAGGCAGTGAGATTGAAGAAACGTGTCCATTGTTGCAACAGGAGATCGATTGTTACGCCGAGAGATCGAATCTGCAACCTTCAGTGTGCTAACCATTACACCATGGCAACATTCCAAATATGAAATAACCGCATACAATCGAACTACCTGAGCATTATTAAGTAACTGCATAAAATAGCACTACACTGTATGATACTTATTAAGTAGCTGCATGGCACAGCATTATATACGCTATAATAATGCGACGGAGAGTGAACATTTCCAGTTAACCTACATTTTTTCGAGAAAATTTTTATAGGTAAAATTTTAACTATTTCCATATATTCGACGCCTATTAAAACTCACAGCTCTTAATGCCAGTCTCAAAGAGAGTGCCAATGTGTTTATCTGAAGCCAAAATCAATTTCAGCCCCTGGGCTTTAGAAACCTAATGAGCAAAATGCTATATAAATATAGACTGCTTTGCAATCAATTAAAAGTTGTCATGTTTTTTTGGTTAGATGATGCTGTTATATAATACACAAATTATTGAAAAGAAAAACATCTCTGTAAGACATATTACATGTCCTTCATATAGCCATGTCATCATTGGGGTTGTTTTAGCATGGTTGACAATGCTGGTTAGTGTGAGTTGGTGAATGTGGCTGGGATATCATAGCGCAGTGCAATATCAGCCATACAACAGAGTATAAATCTGCTATTTTAGTAGTTTAGTTTACTTGATTTACAAAAAAAAAATGTCACGCCAAATTGCCAGCTTTATTGATTGCAAAATTAATCAATGCAATTTGTTTTGCCATATAAATAGACCATTACATGCAGTCATCAAGCGCACCCTAATCCAATGGCAACAACGTCTCTCGCGATCCTGCCATTATAATGATGCACCCAGCACCGGCAAACAAACGAGTCAACTTGCTTCATCTCCACGGGGGTGGTGATGGCGGGGGGGGGGGCAAGCGACGCATCTTGCCTGAGCTCACTAACTTTTGATTAGGTTGTTATTGTACGGTCGAGTTAGAGCACATTTCGTAGGTACTATACTGCACAAGGAATTCAGCACGCACCTTCGCATGTAGCCATGGGAAATATTTCTTAAATGCAGTTGTTTATATTGTTCTTGGTTTGTATCCACGCAGGTGCTGCCAGCGTCATGACTGGTGCTACGACAGACTAATAGCTAATAGCTGTTGGCCTCGGTGGACCCCCTATAACTACACGTGTAAGGACACCCTGGTCAACTGTGGTAAGCCACCCAAGAACCTTGGCATTCAACGCTGGGATTTCCCAGGCCCATAGCTACCTGTAGTACTTCGTAACGACGTATTTGCAGTTACAGTACTCATTGCCAGTGGCGTCACTCGGGTTGGTGTCAACCAGTGCGTAACTCATGGTGTCACCGCCCCATGGACCCCCTCCCATACCAGACCATACAGAATCCTTCGTAATGTTTTTTGTACTAATGTTACTCGTAAATCGTAATTCCCGTATATCATTGAATGTAATGGCAATAATAGTGACGTAAACAACTAGCAACATTTAAATTACACCTTTAAATTACAAGATTGCCTATAATTACTACTTCATTCTCAAAAAAGTTATTGATATAGGTTCACAAATACTAATTACCACAATATTGTATTTAAAACACCATAAAATTTGACAAAATCAGCGACTATAAAAACACGAGCAGCGACGAACACAACAGCGCGTGCTGGTAGCGCGTGCAGACGAAACCACGTGACTCGAAGCGTCACTGTAGTTGGGCAACAATGACAGCTCTGACCGGAGCGCATTAGAAGGTTAATAACGTAAATTAACATAGTTTTAGCCTTGTAGGTATATTTATAGAGTACATGTAAGCTGGGCTTACAAAAAATGTTTTTGTTATAACTACAGGGATATTTTGTTTCATAAAAAGACAATTCTGCTGAAAGCACAAAAATTGTATAGACTAATTTTGGTGTCACCCCCTCTGATGGTGTGACCCGGTGCGGTCCGCACCCCCCGCACCAGAGGTCGCAACCAGGTACCCGATACCCGTACCCTACCCGATACCCGGCTACCCGTACCCGGCCGGGTACGGGTACCCGTTTGCGACCCTGGTGCGGCCGGGTACGGGTAGGCCGTGAGTCACTGGTGAGTAACTGTTTGTCACTCATTTCCCAACGTCTTGTCTCTTCTCACAATTCAAGTTCCTAGAATCAACCCACCCGCGCCTGCAACATGGCTTCATCCCAGAGGTCGCAATCAGGTACCCGATACCCGTACCCTACCCGTACCCAGTCGGGTACGGGTAGGGTACAGGTACGGCCGGGTACCCGTTTGAGACCCTGGTGCGGCCGGGTACGGATACGGGTAAGGAATCAAAACCCGTTTGCGACCTCTGCCCCGCACTCCCCTAGTGACGCCACTGCTCCTTGCAACGTGGCTATATTTATGCCGAGATCATATGACCACGTTGGGGGTTTTCCAAGCAGAGTAGCCGTGCAATGAATGACTTCCTCTCTCGACTGCTGGTTGCTTTAGAGGGAGCTCTAGAGAGAGCCCCCCTCTAGATGCTATTTTGGCCTACTCTTCTACGCTGGTCAGACTTTTTGGTAGAGGTGAGAGTTTTCACTCTAGATTTTTGCATTCCCACACCCACTTAGTGTCTGTGGGGTTTTTTTTTTAACGGAATACGTAAAGCAAAAGTATTTGGAAAATTTCCAGCGTTAGCCATACACACCGCATTGTTGTTCTAGATGTAAAACTTATTTATTTTAACTACTTTTTATATGTTTAGTTTTCTGTCCTTTCCCGCACCTCCGATTAGCACGGTTGGCTACGTAGAGTGTAAAATAAGTTATCCATGCATACATACATTATCTTGACATTCGTGGCAAGAAAGTGTGAAAGCGAACGCGACTTGATGTTAATGCAATGGTACTTTTTATGTGTATTTGTATCTTCATCTTCTAGGTAACGATGACGGAAGTTGCCAGGCGCAGATGTGTGCATGTGACAAGGAAGTGGTGGAGTGTTTCGCAAGGGGCACATATAATCCTGCGAACAAAAAGAAAAATTTGTTTTGCTAGACAAAGCACGGAATGGAGGGAAAATCCCAGCAAGAAGACTGGAAAAACCCAGTACAATGCCACCTTAAGTAAAACCCAACGCAGTGGCAATTTCAACGTTTTTTAAAATCAGGCTTGACTTTGTTTGCTTTAGATTTGCTGTACTGTGAAACGCTGAGAAAGAACGTTCCATTTTTCTTCGCAACCAGTTAAACCTGAATCAGGAACATTAATGATTTAAAACAATATTTCTGCTGCAGATCTACGTTGGCGTGATTGTTTTTGAATTCCATTGATTCAAACTGAATATTATTTCACAATATATGTTTTTGTTCAAAATCATGTCAGTGATTTTACATTTCGAAAACATCTAGGAAATAATTAGAATTGTTTAAGCTTATCCGTAATAAGAAAGTAATTAAATATCTGAACGATTTAAAATATGTCATTACATCTGGTTATGGTTGCTAATCTTCCAAACACCGAATTCAATAACATCCCATCAAACAGACTCATACTACACACATCATTCAGTACAACCTCATTGCCTGTAATCAAGCACTGTGGATGCGAGGGTTGGTGAATCACACAAATGTTGTAAACCGCCCTTCCTATATGGGCATGGAGGTGCCATACCTTGACTTTGCCAGGCGAAAGGTGATGCAGCAAAAGGTGGACACATATCACATCTGGTCCCTTCTTTGTGAGATACAGCGTTGCCCCCTTGCACATGTGCTTTCCTCTGGGTCCTACGGTTTCCTACTACATGTAAACACTCGTTGCTTTGCTGAAAGTATCTTCATCGTTGGCGTATGGCTGCTGCCTTCTTGCTTTTCTGTCTGTGGTTCCTCCCCGCACCTCTGGTCGAGAGTGAATGAATAAAAATTTAATGTATTATTAGTATTACTGTTATTGCTTTAATAAAGGTATGAAACATCAATTGTGAAAATATCCATCAGAAAGTAACATCACACCTAAACATGGCACAGGTGCTGTCTCTGGTATTTAACGCCTCCCTAGCATGACAACGAAGAGACTGCAAATGGTCGATTTAAAGCTTTCGTGACTGCAGGGATTGATCTTCTTGGTTCTTTCGTGACTTTTCCGAAAGAACCAAGAAGACTGCAAATGGTGTTGTACACTAGTGACCATCTCCATTGTGATGAGAAGTAGTCTGAGACTGGTTGGTTATTTCATGGCACGTAAAAAAGATAGCACTCATGGATATCAGCAGGTGTTTACTGGTCTTGCACGCATTTCGGTTGCCAAGTGATCAGAGCATTTGCAGCACATTGAAATCCATTCTACTTCTCCACATATAAATAACCATATTCCTTAGTCGAACAGCTTTTCAGACCAGAACCCCATAGTTTTTATGGAGTGTCCTTGCCAATAACATCTGGTAACCCAGCAGCATTTGTTTCACAAGTCTGGCTCTGCTGATGAGACCGAGAAGGTTCGATCTGGTCCATAGTTTATTTGCTTAAACAAAATGCTGCTGTATAATATTAGTCTAGAAATCTCCCATGGGCTGATGGACTACAGACGCACAGTATTTGTGTTTATATGTGGAGAGAGTTTTGGTTTAATATGCTCTGAAGCACACATTTTCATTTCTGCACAAAGTCCCATGGGTCTGAAACAGATCATTCACATGTTTGCACCACCTAAGGCTCCATTCATAGGGATATTGTTATATTTTTCAATCGCATTGTGGGTAATATTGAAATGTTGTCGAGGACATTAGCAATATCAAATAATAGCGTCTTGGAAATTGTCACATAATCAATAGTTGACACAAGGTGAATGAAGCTCAAACCAGGCCTCATCGTTTCCAACGCTGGTCTATAGCCTAGCAGGTAAGTGTTTGTCTTGAGTACTTGGAAGAGAAGCTTCAAATCCAACGTTGGAACTTATTTGTGGATGGATCTGGCATTAATTTGTTTCGACAACAAAGGAGATAGCGTGACTATAAATTGATCTGAAATAGAGAAGTGGAGACACGTATATGTCATGAGGGGGATGTGTTGAATCGAACGGATGTTATTCTAGAGCGACAGTGCCGACACCTGGATTGGAAAAAAACAGAATTACGAGCTGGCGTATTGATTTTATTTCGGCATATTAAAGGTTGGCATGCTTTATGGTTGCATTTTAACAAAGGGATATTAAGGTGATTGGCTGATTAGGTTGCGTGAGCATGCTTTTTCATCTGTAATTGTGAACGTGTGAGCACGGGTTGTATTCGATTGGGTTGAGTGCGAATGCTTTTGAGAATTGAGAGACAAAGTGCACAACCTTAATTAGATGTAACGAAGCGCGCTTTCTCAGCCTGTATATACGAAGCTGGGTAGATCAGTCGACGAGGTCGTTTGTGGTCAGGAGCTTCGGCGGACTGAGTTGCAGGCAGAACTCGAGAGACAAGTGACTACCGTCCCAGGTGCAAGAGTCTCCGAATAATTTTACACAAAGTTTATTTGACGTGGCTTTGTGACAAGGCTTGGCTCAAGACTGCTCTCGAGGACTAAGGTGAGTGAAAATAATAAGAAATATTTAAAAATACTTTTTAAAAAAAACACGCTTTAATGAAATGTACCGTACTTTTAATGGAAGAACTCCACGACCCCGGAAAGTGTCCCGAGGCTTGCCCATATCTGGATTCGAGAGGCTCTCGGAATGTACCACCGCCGTGCAACAATGGTTCACTGCACACAACCTAGCCCTTAATCCGAAAAAGTCAGTGGCCATCATGTTAGGTACCAAGCAACGTCTCAATTCAGCAGCACACCCCACACACATACACATCTTCGGTCACAGCATCAAGTTCACCGACCACTTCAGCTACCTCGGTGTCATTCTAGATTCAACTTTATCCTTCGACCGTCAAACCAACCATATCATCAGCTCATGTAACTTTCACCTGAAGGCTCTCAGACACATACGTCCTCTCATCTCTACTGAAATTGCCAACACATTGGCATGTTGCATAGTTGGGTCTCGCCTTGACTATTGCAACTCCGTCCTAGTCCGGACCTCTGCTGGCAACTTAAAGAAACTTAAAAGACTACAAAATAACCTCCTAGCACGCGTCGTCATTGCCCACACTCATCCCCGTTTCAACTCACTAGTCTCCGTGCTCTCAACTGGCTACCCATCGCCAGTAGGGTCACATACAAGACCGCCTGCCTCTGCCACAATGTCTTCATATCCGCCTGCCCGCCGTACCTTTCTTCATTATTGACAAATTGCAGCTCAGCACACGGCAGATACCTGCGCAGCGCGACTCACGACCTCCTCTTGATACCAAGATCCAGGATGGTCACCGTGTCTATGCGCCGCTTCTCGGTGGCAGCCCCAACAGTCTGGAACGATATCCCTCTGCACATTCGCAGCATCACCTCAATCGCCTCCTTCAAAAGAGACTTAAAAACTCACCTCTACAATCATGCTTTTGAGCGACTCTGAGCTTGGCTCCGCGCCTCTGAGTTGCGGCCACTACGTCTGCAAATTTGCGCACGTTACAAATTGAACTATTATTATTATAAGGGACCGTGGTCATTTAGAGCCAATGTCAATTTACCGTGAACAATTAGAGCCAAGCCGAAACATGACATATTTTAAAAATAATGTTTTAAAATCTGTGTGTTTTTTTATGATGGAATATAGTATTGTCATCAGTATGACATAAGTATACCAAGTTTGCAGTCGATACCACATTGGGAAGTGGGTACAAATTGAGTTACAAGATTTGAGGATACAACAACAACAACAGTGAGTTCAATGAAAGCGTGTAAATAAAAAAGACAATGGGGATGGCGTGTGGCTTGGCCTTTGACAGCTCTGCAATAGGAGGGCGTGGGTGATCAGCCACACCAGCAGGCGGTGATGTGGGCGGTTACATAGGGCTGGTGATGTGGGGTTCTGGCAGCAGGCCAGTATTGAGAAGGGATTTTACTGCGGGAAAGTGACAAGTAATATATGCCATTCCCTCGCGTTTTTTTGTTAACGATGTGCCTGGTGTATACAGATGGTGTGTAATAGCAGTCTGCCAGTTACGTAGCTTTATTTTTAGTCGTGCAAAATAAAAACGTCTTAACTGCTCCGTTGGGTCACCTTGGTTGCATTGCTTTGGCATCTGTCCTGCCACAAATTTCTCCAGCGGGCGACAATAGGCAGAAGACGATGCACGCCTCTGCATGGCAGCGAGACTACCTGCATATGTAGCCAAAACTCCGTTCTGTCTCCTCGTAAACAAAAAATATAATAAAAACACCCAGGTCCATCTGCTTCTTTGTCCAGACCAATATCATCAAGCAGCCTCTGTTCACACACATTCTGGACTGGTCTTTACTCCCTTTTGGGGCTCTACCAGGTATGGGGGTTACATTGTGCCAGAGGTGGGACAAAGTCATTGTTATGCAAGTCCAAGTCGAGTCTGAAGTCATCAAATTCATGACTCGAGTCTGACTCGAGTCCAAGTCACATGACTCGAGTCCACACCTCAGAGGTGGGACAAAGTCATTGTTATGCAAGTCCAAGTCGAGTCTGAAGTCATCAAATTCATGACTCGAGTCTGACTCGAGTCCAAGTCACATGACTCGAGTCCACACCTCAGAGGTGGGACAAAGTCATTGTTATGCAAGTCCAAGTCGAGTCTGAAGTCATCAAATTCATGACTCGAGTCTGACTCGAGTCCAAGTCACATGACTCGAGTCCACACCTCTGCATTGTGCTGTATTACCAGATCCAGCGGAATTTCTGTATAAGTATACTATTGTCAATGATGCTCCTGGCTACTTGATAGGTGCACGTGCTTCAAAATTCAGGGACTACATACAATTTCCCCAGCGGTTTTTTTAAGCCACCTCGATCTGTAAAACAGCGCCACCCCCTGTTTGTAGAATTTTAAAATGACATCTCACAGAATTTGAAAGACAATCTGTGATGGAGGGGGCAATTTATTTTACATGAAAGCTGCTGGAATTACAGTAATTTAACCATTCCATAATTTGTCTGAATAGCTAGAATTCGCTCCAATAATTATTTGACACTCCACCCCGATACTTGTGTTTATCAATACCTTCCTATTGGTGTCGTGTTCAAAGAAAACATCTCTACGGAACTCTCGCAGAGCAATAGAAGTGGATACCTCTCGTCCACACAACACTTTCCCCCCAGACCTACCATAGACGATGGTTTGTCGCATGACTACAAAACAAATGTGTGTGTGTGTTTATATATATTTAGCTGGGAGAGCTGTGACTTGGGTAAATAAAATGTAATGATTTTTTTGTGTGCAGCGATTCGTGGCTCAGACCATCAAACCACTTCATGCGAGAACCTGGCTTAATTAATGCCGCTGTCTGGATTCAAACTTGTGAATTATCAGACCATCTGTTTCCATTTGAAGTCCTGTCTCAACCTGTTGATACAAAATAAAATAAAACGGGATCTACAAGCCAAGCCAATCAGTCGCAGGGCGTCTATGGCCCTTTGCCAGCGGGCCCCGACACTTAACGGCCCGTTGTACCAGAGGCTCTGCCGAGTTAAACTCCATTCTCATAATTATAACACCAGACAAATAACATTCCAACCACCTTTTTTTTTAAAAAGGAGATTCTACACTTATCCTAATTGAGGCCAATTGGTAGAAAGCTTTTTTTACAATTTACTAAATAATAAGAATGGATCCGTGCACCAAATTAAACGAGTCTGTCTGGGACATTGGTTAAACCACACACTGATTATGTGTCTCCTTAAAAAAATGTTGAGCCATATTTTATTTCTTCCTTTCGAGAATTGTAGCCAAACAAGTCTATAAACAATGCCGTAATTGTAGTCTGTATTTTGCATCCGATATGTTTAATCACATTAGTGTCACAACAGTTTTGCACAGTGGCTTTTGAGGCGTTAAAGTTTGGGTACTTTGTGTATTTTTGC